TTTGGCAAGTTATATTAACTTTTATTAAATAATGACATCCTGTAGTTTTGCACCAAACAAATTCATCATTATTATTAACAAAAGAATAGAGAGATCGTTGAAGAAGTGGTAAAATAAAAGTTTTCAAATCCTGTATTTTTGTAAATCTTCTTCCGAATACTTTCTAAAAATTAATTTAAAAATGATTAAAATAAAATGTTAATTTACTCGAATATCATTAATTGCTAAAAATTGGCAATGTTGATGAGCGCATCGAAGTGGAAAAGTTGTAGAACTTTCGATCTGAAAAATGGAAAAAATTGGACCTTTAAGGTTTCAGTAACCAATAGAAATTTAGAAAGTTTTATTAATTTTAATAAATTAAAAATGATTAAATAAATATGTCTATTTTACGTTTTTAAAATTTAATTTACCAATTGAAGAAGACATGTATCACAGTAAAAATGCCCGCAAAGCGATAATTTAATACAATTATTTCCTTCGTAATAATTTAAGCAAATTGTGCATGTTCCAGGATATATATTATTTTTGTTTGATTCATGCAAGGATTTTGACAACAAATATTCAAATAATCCATTTTTTATTACCTTTAGAATGAGAAATTTTTTTAAATAAAATTAGCCAATTTATATTTCACAATCTAACGAAAAACGCCACTTTCCATTACCTAGCTTCCTTTGAAAAGGACTATGTAACACTGTAACAATGCTCATCAAATTTCTGAGTCATAAACATTTTAACAATTTAAATAATACCTTAAATCCTTCCCCCTTCAAAATACTCCTTGTAAGCTGAACAAGAATATTTTCAAAATCTTTTTGAGAATTCAATACAATATAAAGATTATCATCAAAAATAAATATGAGTGGTTCATACTCGAACTGGAATATAAAATTTCTTTTAAAAACTTCAAAAAAATTTACAATTGTTAAACAGTAATCATTTAGAAAATTTTCAATATTAGATAAAAATGAAGAATCATTTTTGTTTTTGTCACAGTAAACACATAATGTGAAATTGCCTGAAGAATCATCCCTTTCAATTGAGCGAATTTTAAATCCTGGACCGAAATAAACCTAAAAATAAAATATTTAGAATCATCAGGAAAAATCCAAATAATTATATTAATTCTCTTGAATAATAAAGCTACTTTTTTAAATTTTGATAAATTAAACAAATAATTTAAAATTGATTTACGAATAAACTCACCAATGCACAAGTTTCCTCGAACAAACAGCGAAAAACATTCCAATTAATTTCAGTATCAGCAATACTTTTCACACGATTTTTGGCCCATTCTAATAACTCATTTTTTCCTACGTGTGTACCAATTAAAGACAAATAAGAATCACCAGGACGATAACTTTGAAAATTATTGACAAATAACATTTCTTTTGTAATCCTATTAAAGGATACTTCATCTTTTCCACCACTTTTAATTAAATCCGAAACAACAGCCGAGCCCAAATCAAGTTGGAAAATGGAAATCTTAAAAGAAAACTTTAAAAAATTTTAAAACTTAAAAAAACCTTATAAAATGGAACTGAACTTCTGTGTGTGTATGGAATGTCACAGATAAATGAAGCAACTTTTTTATCCGGTAAAAGTTCAAAAGCAATGGCTCTGCCGAAATTTTGAGTTTTAAAATATTCGCTCACGTGAATTACACTTTCCTGGTCAATCTAAAAGAATTTTTTGAATATTTTTAAATTAAAATTCACCATTACCACACATTTGTAATATCTGTTGTAAAAATTTAAAGTTGAAAAAATTTCATCACGAAAAAAGGTCAATGCTTTATCTTTCCCATAAATTGAACACAGTGAATGTGCTAATGCAGAACGAACAAATTTTGAAGATTTTGCCTGAGTTTAGGAAAAATTTGAATCTATTACTTTTAGTAATGCCTATACTTTCTAAAAACATTTCGACTAAAGTATTTCCTAAATAATTAAAAATTCACCGGTTGTATCCATTTTAAATCAATTTGAACATGATAAATAAAATGATGAACGTTAAAATTATCCACAGAGGGATAATTACTCCCTAAATTGTAAAGATTGTGATATGGAAGCTTTGTTGACTCCATTAATGAACGTGCACAAACAAAAACATCATCGAAAAATTGTTCCATTTCAGGCATATTTTCGTCAAATACCTCTCCAGTTTGATAAAAGTCACATAATCTACAAGCAACAGACAAGTCATCTTCAAGATCAATGAACTGGAAAAACACAAAACTAGCTTAAAAAATACGGATGTTGTCCCTTTCCCTTTTAATGTTCCCTTTTCCCTCAGTTAAATACAATTTTAGAACTACATCAGGGAATTTCTTTTAACAAAAAATCATTAATTTTTAACCTTAATTTTTGAATAATTTTTAAACGAACCAAATTATCTCTTGCATATTTGAACAACTCTGAACCTCTAACATTCAAAGAAATAATGAAAGCAGCTTCAAAACCAACCCCAAGTTTATGAGCAAAACTAATGAATTCCTGTACACGAGCCAATTCATTAAAGGGTGGAGACATTTTAATTCTACTTTAAAATATAAATTGAAAGTCAAAATTATATAGAGATTAAGCTATAAAAGAACAGTTTTAAATTAAATTCAAAAACAATTTATTTCCAATTTATCTACTTTCAAAAAACAACGGCAAAAACACAAAAACAGAAAGTGACATTAACCAAAATATACAATATATCAATAACAAAACAAAATTATATATATTTTTTGACTAGTTATTCATTCCCCTCTTTCTCAGCCAACCTTTCTTTAACATTTAGAATTGCTCATTTTTTACTTCATCTGGACGAGTTAGTACGAAGAAAATCTAAAATATGTAGGATTAAACAAAAAAATTATTCATATTCACCTCCAAATCGGCACTAATACTTGCCACAGCACTCCAATTATTCAACTCTGGATGATACCGAGCAGCAGAGAATATAGTAACCATCTTTTGGCCACAGAACATATCATAGCCATACTGAGCAACCTTAAAATTAAACTTAATTTTTATCTTTTAGATAATTTATAACACCTGGTGAGCACGTATTATCAGACTAATTTTTAGAGAAGACATCGTCTTCTTTAACGCCTCTTCACTAAAGAGGACTGAACAATTCCGAAAGTAATTGTGTACGAATCCTTCGTTACTTGGCAACAAATTTGGATCAGCCCACAATAAGTCCTGTATAAGTCCAGGTTCAATTATAATAGGAATCGGACGTTTCAGATCTCGAATGTCATTCAACGACTGCAAATGGGGCGAAATGCCACCTGAAAAAAGTGCCAAAAATTATTCAATAATGGTTTAACTGACCATGCATGCAAAGAATTTTTCCTCCAATGGTAGCAGCTAGAGGCATGAAGGCGAACGCATCATTGAATTTCAGCCAAAGTTCTTCAGCACGGTCGTTCCCAAAGCGACGACTCAGCTCGTCAAAGAAACCGTAAGCCCTGAAAAATTATCGTTATTTGTTTATCCAAAAAGGCACTCGCCGATTTATGTGAGTGATTTCATGATTGCCACGAAGCATAAAAATATGTTCGGGATATTGTACCTTACAGGCAAAGAGCAAACAAATGACCTTAAGAGAACAATATTTTTTTTCAAAAAAACGAAACCTCAAGAGAATTTCTTCCACGATCAACATAATCTCCGAGAAAAAGATAGCGTTTTTTATGCGGTGGTCCACAAGCATGAAAAATACGCAGCAAGTCAGCATATTGCCCATGAATATCTCCACACACAAATATTGGCCCGTTCAACTCTAGGAGTGTTTGTTGATCTTCAAATGACTCCATCGCCAAGTGCGCTATTTGCTCGATCTGATCAGCCGAGTAGTGGTACTCCTTTTTACCACGAAGCAAATGGCGTCGAATGAATTCGAGCACATCGAGGTCGGTACTGTCTGAAAGAAAAAAAAGTCAGATATGAAATTCCCGATTAAAACTGACGAGACATGTTGTTCGTCTTTGCTCTGCGTTTCTCGATGTCGAATATTCCTGGCATTGCCATTGGCTAAAAGTAAAACTAATTAATGAAAAATAAAAAGAGTTACATGTATCTGCGCGGGAATTCCACCTACAGGTGGACGGCCACTCGATTGCTGACTAGACTGGACCGAATTAGTCGAATTCGTTAAAGTAAAACTCTGTGACGAACTCGAACGCGCTTCTGTTGCACCAAATAACGTCATCGCTACTTTGCTGTGGTAATTTGAATTAGTAAGACCAAGCAAAATTACGCTTAAATAGTAAAAATTTACTGTAGTTAATTCAAACGGTTAAATTAACTTTGGTCAAAAAACTTTTCGTCAATAGACTTTGAGTCAATGAAGTTTTCGTTAATCACGTGAAAGGGAAATTCTCTTTTGATAATGCATATAGAATGCTAATTTCCAAACTCATAAAAATATGTAAATTTCGAAAATTCTTGTCATTTTTTCTTTGAAATGCTATAACATATCTTTTTGTTTTCGTTGTCCTAAAATTAAATTCCCTTTAATTTTAAAATGTAGCAACACAAATGACTCAATTAGAAGAAATCAACTTACATTTTGCAAGCAATCATATAAAGTTAAAAATGGAATGGCTCCGGGAAGTTGTTAATTTTCTCTCAAACATTAAGGTAGTTTTGCTGTTAAATCTTTTTTTACAATCTTTCTTTTAAGATCAGTACAGACAAATTAATAGGTTTAGTTTATCAACAATGGATTTACTCAAATATTCAACAAAGTACTGAACCTATTAAAGAATTTGAGAATTCTAATGATATTTTTGATTTGCCACAACCCCTACTTTTACAGGTTTACTAAAAAAATTAACCTTTTAAAAAAATTGTTTATAGATTGAATCTGTTACCGATATAGGCACTTCTTTTCTTAAACAATACCAAACACTTGTACAAAAAGACTACGATGAAACCGCCGCTGAAATAGGTGTTATTGAATCAGACGACTACAAAATTGATGTAATTTTTATCTTTTAGTCAAATTTTTAATTATCATTTTAGAAAAAGTTTAAATGTTTTTCTCTTCAACTAACCGATGGTGAAAGGATTTTTAAGGCTTTTGAACAAAAACGTATTCCAAACCTATTGTTATCTACACCTCCTGGAAGCAAGGTTGATTTTAATTTAATTTTATTTTAAAAATGTTTTTAAAGATTTTACTTTTTCGTGGGACGCGGATTAATCAAAATATTATATTTCTCGATCCAAAAAAATGTCAGTTATTGGGTGGTGCCGTCTATGATCTTATATTACAAAATAATTCTTTACATTCTCTCTGTAGGCTTCTTAATAGACAAATAACTTCTGGACCGAGGTATAGAATTTTTATTAAAAAATTTGGCCCTATCTGAAAGGAATGCCGGCATTATATTTTTCTTCATTTCCTTGAAATGGTTATTTTTTTAGTTTGTTATTTTTCTCTAATTTATTTTTCCTTAACCAAAGACAATAATTTTTTAAATTTTTTCGGACCGTTTTATGTCTGGACCGAGTTTAGGTAGACACGGTCCTCCAAAACTCGGTTTGGACAAACCGGTCCTACCAAAACTCGGACCAAACATAACTCCGTCCGAAAAAATTAAAAGAAAGACACCGTCTTTCATTAAGAAAAATAAATTAAGGAAAAATAACCATTTCAAGGAAATGAGAAAAAATATGATACCGGCACTGCCGGCAGGGCAAAAAATTTTAGGGTTTACATTATTTTATTTTTTCTCATAAAATCAATCATTTTATAGATCAGCGCAAATGACTCAATTAGAAGAAATCAACTTACATTTTGCAAGCAATCATATAAAGTTAAAAATGGAATGGCTCCGGGAAGTTGTTAATTTTCTCTCAAACATTAAGGTTGTTTTGCTGTTAAATCTTTTTTTACAATCTTTTTTTTTAAGAGCAGTACAGACAAATTAATAGGTTTAGTTTATCAACAATGGATTTACTCAAATATTCAACAAAGTACTGAACCTATCAAAGAATTTGAAAATTCTAATGATATTTTTGATTTGCCACGACCCCTACTTTTACAGGTTTACTAAAAAAATTAACCTTTTAAAAAAATTGTTTATAGATTGAATCTGTTACCGATATAGGCACTTCTTTTCTTAAACAATACCAAACACTTGTACAAAAAGACTACGATGAAACCGCCGCTGAAATAGGTGTTATTGAATCAGACGACTACAAAATTGATGTAATTTTTATTTTTTAGTCAAATTTTTAATTATCATTTTAGAAAAAGTTTAAATGTTTTTCTCTTCAACTAACCGATGGTGAAAGGATTTTCAAGGCTTTTGAACAAAAACGTATTCCAAACCTATTGTTATCTACACCTCCTGGAAGCAAGGTTGATTTTAATTTCATTTTATTTTAAAAATGTTTTTAAAGATTTTACTTTTTCGTGGGACGCGGATTAATCAAAATATTATATTTCTCGATCCAAAAAAATGCCAGTTATTGGGTGGTGCCGTCTATGATCTTATATTACAAAATAATTCTTTACATTTTATTTCTGGACAGATAAATGAACAAATACACTCTCAACAAAATGAATTTGTAATATTTAGATTTCAGAAATAATTTTCTTTATGATTTTAGGTGGAATATGATTGGGCTTTTCCATTTTAATTCGGTGAAGAAGGATTTTTTTGCATATTTTTATTTAAATTTAATTTTATTTAAATGTGTAAATATACTTATTTGATTAAGTTTTTTGTACAAAAATTTATTTGTTAACGGGAAGCAATTATGCTTAACCCTTAATTTTTTTAAATAATTTTTTTTCTTCCTGCTGCTTCCGACATCCTTTTGTCGTTTGAAATCCGAATATTACAAAAATTATAGAAATTTTCTATACCACTTTTAATGTTTATTACACCTATTAGGTCGTTTCGTTACTTTAAAGTATTTGCTCCTTTAATCAATAATAGTGGAATTTTACTGCATACAAGGTCAGTTTTTTTTATTTAATAGTCAAAATATTTGGTTAGAAAACTTTGTTTATAAAACTTTGCTTATTCTTATTTTTCATAAAAATTTTCTAATAAACAAATTTTAGAACCGCTACAATAATGTCTACAATTGAAGAATTCAAGAAAAATTCAATTGTTTCTGATGTTGTTCCAACAGCACCTGAGAAAAGAATTCGTGTGACTTACGATAGTGGCGTTGAGGTTAGTCAGTGGAGATTTCATATTTGTTTGCTTTTCCTCAGAAAATCGGTGTCTTTGTGGGGTGGGGGGTCGAGAATTCTAAGACGGAGGGGGATAGCCATCAATTCACATGTATTTTGGCTCCATCGTTCCCAATACTTTTAAAAAATGCAGATTATATACTAAATTTTGCAGGCAAATCTTGGTAATGTTCTTACACCAACCCAAGTTAAAAATCCTCCGACTATAACTTGGGAAGCGGAGGATGGTGTTCTTTATACTCTTGCAATGACTGGTTAATTTTTATTTAATTGATTTTCTATCAGATTTCGTAATTTTTTAGATCCTGATGCTCCTAGC